CTACTAATATCAAGGGCAAGAACAATGTCATATTTATTCTATGTCTAAAAATTCTCTGTAGAAGTATATAGTCCATTAATACATGTTGATCAATTTAAAAATTCAAAAGCAAATCTTTCCTCAACTTTTAAAACTTTTAAAAGATTACAGATCAGATAGAGGAAGTTTTGTTGTTCTAGCTTGGTTTTATTTATTTTTTAAATGGGATCTTCCTGTGTTGCCCAGGCTGGCCTCAAACTCCTGGGCCCAAGAGATTCTCCTACCTGAAATTCCTGATTGTAAGGATTACAGGCATGCACCACTGTGTCCAGCTTCACAGAATGAGTTTTGTACTCAATGGAATTGTTGTATGAACATGGGAAATGAATTTTAACCTCTGAGACAGCAAACTGGAAAAGTATTATGGGCAATAGCACCATGCAGTGCTTCAGCCGCAAACCACTCTACCCACTACTTCTCTTTTTAGATTACCAAGAACAAAATAAGTTCAGAGCAGAAATCACCAGTAAACTTACACTAAGTAACATCTCGCTGGCTGGCTCAGCTAAGTAAAGCACTGATGATTCTCAGTTTCTCCTATTAAGAGGAAGTGCTGAAGGACTTAAAAGTGTGGATTCAGACAACCTGAATCTCAAGATTTAATCTGAATCTCAATCTATGATAACTGTGGTCCTGTGTGGAGCAGTTCTCAAGTGTGACAGTTAGTGAGGAGTTTCAACTAGACTGGCTTTGGGATCTGCCCTAGTGACTGGTAGAGCACACTTCTGGGTGTGTCTTGGTGGGGTGATGGAGTCACAGCCTCAGGGTCTATGTCTGGCCCCTTGCCCTTTCTACTCCAGCCCTCTTTCGCTGCTCTGCTTCTGTTGCCATGATCTGAGCAGCTATGCCCCACTACACACATTTGACATGATGTCTCTGCTTTGAAGCCAACCAATCATGGAATGAAACCATGAGCAAATTAAACCCCTTTTCCTTAAAGCTGTGAGTGTTGGATACTGTGTCTCCCCAAGGAGACAGTGAGTAGAACAGCAAGCTTTGGTAAGCACCAGCACCCCCTGTGTATCCCTCCCCAGAGTCCCTTGTGCAGGCCTGTAGTTTTGCATTTGTCAGTTCCCAAGTGATACTACTACTGTTGGTTCAGGGATCACCCCTTGAGAACCACTGCTTTAGATCAGTACTTCCCAAACTTCAGTGTGCTTAAATCACCTGGTGAAAAGATTAAAATGCATATTTAATTCAATCCAGGGGCTTGTCCAAGTGCATTTCTACAGGTCCCCAGAGGATTCCAATGCCTCTCATCAGTGGATTACACATAGCTTTAGAGATTTTTTGAAAAACTGCAGAAGTAGATGTCATTTGCAATAAAATGTGATGGATTTTAGCTGTAAAATTGATAACTATGGAGTCTTGGAATAAACAGCTCTTCTTTTCAAGTACAAAGAGACATCGGTGCTATATTCATCTTTCGGAATCCAAGTCAGTTTCATCGGGTTACAGATCTCAAACTGGTTCTAAGATGGCCATGCTGGAGGCTGCTTTCTTGAAGATTACATCAGAGGCCCCAGAGTAAATTAAGCCTGCTCATTTTGTCATCTGCCTTGGATACAGCGGGTGGATTGACCATTAATCTGCCTAAAAACATAAGGAATAGGAATGCCATTCCATGAGTGTTGCAGACGTTCCTTCTGAGAGACCTTTGGTGATCATAAAGGACAGCTGCTCATCTCTCCCAAGAGGCTTCCCATGTGGTATTGCAGTAGGCTCAGTCTCAGCCCCAAAACCCACTCAATATGCACATCAGCCTCTGAGAGGGATTGGGAGATGCCAGGGGAGATGGTTCTCCTCTAGTGCAGATGGCATCTTCTCTACATCTTCTGCTCAACAAACCTCGACAGCACCAGCTCCTTCTTTCCAGCCTGAAAACTGAGGGAGGTAAAGATGTAGACACAATCTAGCTGGCTGCAGCTTGATCTACTCAGAATCAGGAGTTTCATCAGCAGAATGGAAAAAAACTTTTGAGCTGGGGTCAAAAACACAACACTTCTGGCTCCAAAGGCTCCCTCTTCCTCAATATTATCAAGGTGATCAATGGTTCTGAGGTTACAGAGAGTGGTCAGATGCTGGCACATGAAAACAAGTCTGCCTGTTAAGTATTCTTGGGCTTTGCTTAGCATACGGCTCTGCCTCCAAGCCCTAGCAGCAGTACTAGGAAATGGCTACAATGGTAGGCTCTATCTGCACTGTTTTAAAGTCCTTTTAATGATATTAAATGATCTATATGATGAGAATCAATAATTGCACTCATTTCCAAAGTCTAAACTGTATAGAAGAAGTCATTTCCATTGAGAAAATAGCAGTCTGAATTTTCATATGAGACCTAAAATGATACTAGTGGTCTCAGAGCAGCCTAGGAATTTACAGCAAGTGAAAGCCCAGCCCAGCAAACAACAAAAGGAGAAATAAAGGTCTTTTTGGTAAAATATCTAGCACCTTGTTATCCAAGATGTGGCCCAGGGAGCCAGAATCATTGGTATTGGTATTGTGTAGGAACTATGGGAAATACAGAATCTCAGACTCCACTAGCTGAATGAGAATGAGTGTGTTAAAATCCCCAGGGAATTTGTGAGCACATTAAAGTTTGAGAAGCATTTCTATAGCACATTATGGCCCGAGGGGTGGGGCGGGGGGAGAGAGAGAGAGAGGACAGGCTCTGCTGATCTAAGCTGTCTCCTAGCACTCATAGGTGTTTCCATGAATAGGGTGTTTCCATGAATGTAGCTTGAACAGCACTTTGGTCTTTAGTTCCAAGAACCATTATTTTTTGGGTTGTTTTTTTTTTTGGTACCGGGGATTGAACCTGGTACCTTCCGCTTGTGAGGCAGGCACCGGAACTACTGAGCTAAATCCTTGGCCCTAAGAACACATTATTGACAATGGAATCAATGTTAGACAGGTAGAGTCCAATAAAACACCCCCATCTTTTATCTACTTGGCAGTTAGTATAAACTAAACATATGTACAGTATATACCAATTGTGAAACTATAATTTCCATAAGCATTGGACTTACAATATTATTGCATAATATAATTTTACAAACGATCATTTAGCCATTTTGATTAATATATAATTTCCATCTGCCCCTTTGCTTGAGGCTCTATTTTATGACAGTCTTCAGTACAAAACTTTAGCTAAAATTCAGATTTCTCTTCCTTGTACCTATCAAAATCACTTAAACATTTGTTGACTCTATATTAAAGTATGTTTTGGCTTGAATTATTCCACATTTAGTCAGTAGCTTTAATTTTGTGTTGTTATCTAATACAAAGCTTTGGACAACTTAATGGAACTTAGATAAAGATGCTAAGGTGCAGGTCAGAGCTTGTGGTCACCGGCAAGGGTTGTGGTTCCAGGGTGTGTCACTGGGCCTCTGCTATGCCCAGTTTCTACCTTCCGAACTGTGTTGCATTCTTGGATTCTCCAGTCTGCTCATCAGAGCTCTCCTATCAGGCATGGTGTCAGTGGTTCTGAAACTGTGGTCTCTAGAACAACAATTGGGAACTTGTGAGAAATATAAACTTGGGCTTTTTTCCAAACCAATGGAAAGAGAAACTCTGGAGTGGAGACCAGCAATTTTTGTTTTCCCAAGACCTACCATAGATTTGATGCAGAAGCAAGTTTGAGAATCACACATTCCAATAAACACTCACCAGGAAATCTCTGGCCTTGCAAATTTAAAGCAACTAGAAATTTGAATGTGGCAATAAATTCACATTAATACGTATTCGTTTTAATTTTGCATAAAATTATAGCCCAGACCTCACTACTAAATTAAATGTTTTGATGTAATTGAGTAATTGTCATTAGGGATACCATACATTTGATTTCACAGAGCAATACATTAACTCAAAGTTTGAAGGAGAGATTTTGACATAATAGAAGACATGCCAACCTCAGAATTAAGAAATCTGGGTCTTATTCCTAGCTAAAGTGTGGGCTCTCTATATGGCCTTGGACAAGTAATGCAATTCTCTGTGGCTAGCTGCTTCCTTCCAGTTGTAAAATGAGAATAGCATTTGCCCCACCAACTTAAAGTCTTATTGTTAGTATATAATCAAATAAAATATGAGAAGATGTTTCAGAAATACAAAGCACTTTTCAATATTAGAACTCTTAGGGGAAAGGAAAGAAGGTAAAGGAAAAATTATGAGAAAAGAAAAAAATGGAAACAAAATTTATGTAAATAGGGAAGGATGGAGAGGGTGAAGGGCACAGGTAATGGGAAAAAAATAAGAACCAAGATCCATCATGTACGGGTACAAACACCCAATGGTAAATGTAAATGTATTGTATACCTAAAATGTACCAATAAAAGAATTTGAGAAAAAAATATTAGAACTCTTACTATTATTATTTTATACATCATTGTGTATGTTCACACACCACTTATGATCATGAAATCCTAAAACTAATTTAGGGTAAATACATACTATCCTTGTCATTTCACAATCATCACAAATGTCAAAATAAATGCCGATGGAATGATTTTTTAAAATGTATTATTTAGAAATGTATTTAAAATTTTATCTTCTTAAGTATATCTATTACATGATAGAGCAGATAAACAGCCTAACCAATTTAAGGAACTATTGTTATTGTACTGTTACATTTATGGGAAGTTTGCCTATGAAAATTTTTACAATTAAAAAAGATTTTAAAAATTTATAAAGCTCCTTGGTAAATAATTTTTTTAAATGACAGCTAATTTTGGCATAATATATGAGTTTCTACTTATTTTGCAAGTGTTTATTTATGATAGTTAAAATTGCACCTACATTGATTATATTAGACATCCAAGACATTTTGTGAGGAAAGTCTTCATAACTTCAATTTAAGGTGAATATTGAATGTTCATCATTATTGAAACTTCCTATGTCAACAGATCCATACACTACAGCTAAATTCTATGTCAAGAACTCATATCGTGATTATTTTGTTTGACTTACCCCCAGGAAAATATCCACTATAAACACCGCCAATGGGTCTAGAACTGTCCATAGTCCCATGGTAATGATTAACTTTGACAAGACATCAGGACAGGAGGCAAACAGCAGCTGACAGCCCCATCTGATCAGAACCAAAAGAAATATGACTGTGTTCAACATTAGAGGCCCGACCACAATCACAGCCAGCTCTTCTGTGATGCTAAGGGAAGATGTTGGATAGCAAAGCTCAACCATGTAGGGGTAAAGATGAAATCTGTAAGGAAACAAGGTATGAATCACTTACTTGCAAACAAAAACTGTTAAAATGCCAAGCCAACAAAACTATTCAAAGGACTATGTGTTTTTTTTTTCTTTTTTTCAAAATATAGGAAACATAACACTTTAAAAAACCTTGATATGAAACTTAAAAAAAAAAAAAACTTGACATGCAATTAGATGTTAGACATCTTCATCCTTTCCTGACCCTTCAGTAACTCTTGAACATTTCACAATCAAGGAAAAGGAAAATTCAACGATATTTATCAGTCTTATAAAAGGACACAGAAATTATTTCAGCACAGAAGGTACATCAAATTGAGCTGCTGAACAGACCTGTCTATAGACCAAAAGCTCGCCTGCAGTTCGCAGTACTTGTTTGTAGGCTATTGTAAATGCAAAGTACAGCGGACTTTCTAAGGAGTCAACCTCTAATAGCAGTGAAATATAGATACATGGTAAATCTAATAATTCTTCAGAGTTTTAATATAGCTGATTGACTTTACCTTTGATTCCTCTCTAGGTAGACTCCCAAATACATGAATAAGATCACTATCACTAACAACCAAAACTTCATACTTCTTGGTCTAATGAGCTCTGTAGCTCAAGCAGCCTGACCCAGGATTTTACACCATCTTTCTGTGCAAAACAAGACTTCATCCCACTGAGTTCTCGCCCTCTAAATTTCGTCCTGTGGAAAGCTGTTTCATAATTGATCCTGTTTGTGCGTTCTATTTATCAGTAGCCTACCAAAGAGATCTTCATTTTTTCTGTTCCTTCATTTTGATTTCTAACAAGGGTTTTGCTTGTTTGTTTTTGCAGTACTAAGGATTGAATCCAGGGCCTTCATACTAAGTTACAGTTCTCTTTATATAAAAAAAAGTATTTTTATTTTGAAACACTCTTGGCAAGTCACTAAATTGCCCAGGCTGGGCTTGACTTGGTATCCTCCTGCCTCAGTGTCCCAGTGAGCTGGATTACAGGTGTATCCCACCACATCTGGCTCTAAATTGTATGCTTTTGTTCATAGCTGTTGTGAATATCAAATAAAGAAATAAATATATATATATTTCTTAGCATAGTACCTGCCATAAAGGAAGAAAAAAAAATGCTCACAGTTGGTGTTGTTACTATTGTTGTTACAATTGGTTGGTCACTGCTAAGATGTGACACAGAGCTACTGTATGAATCCAGACTGAGGACCAAGAAAACAACCAGAAAAATATCTCGTGATAGATTAAGTTCTCTTCTGCTTAAGAAACTGGTCAGATCTGGCTGTCAAGATATTTCTTGTAGTCTCATTTTTACTAACAACTAATAAAGATAAGGTTTCCTTTTCTATCAAAGAATAGGTGAGCTAATAATAAAAAGAACTAGCCCAAACATACAATGCTTATATTTTATGCTTTGGAAATCTAAAGAAAAAAGAAAGAAAAGAGAGAGAGAGAAAGAAAGAACAGGAATAAACAGAAAGAAGAAGATGAAATATCAGAATATCCAGGCAATATCCATGTGAAAATGCCCTCCCTAGAAAATGTGTTTATTTAGTAAATGTAAATGTACATATTCTGCAACACATTCAGATATTTGTGATTTACTATCAAAAACTGTGTATATATATATATGTATATATATATTCCTCTTTGTAAAGTCTTAAAATTTTTCATAACCTCCTTAATTGAAAATATAAACACATCTTTGTTTTTATCTGTACCATCTACATTTGAGAAAATGAATTTTACTTGTATTGTTATCTATCTGTTTGTCTATCTACAGTGCCTACAGAATTATGTTTATTTTATAGAGAGATAACCTTTAAAGTGTCATCTTTTCCCACAGGATAATGGCCCAGAAAGCAGCTTGGGCTTTAGTTCAGTAATTGTTTGAATTCAATCATTTTGTACAAGAAGCAATCTTTGCTTCTCTGAGTATAGGCAATAAATCAGACTTAGGTTACTTCTAAAATATCTTCAGCCTAAGTCACTCTGATAAAATCAAAACACAATAAAACATTGGTCCTAAATTCCTTTTGGATTCTGCTCAGATATTAGAACATATTTGAATCTGCTAAATTTTAAATAAATATTGATGGACCAGTTATGTATTTGTATATACAGAAGCAACAGTAAAATGAGACTATAATTGTAATAGAAGTTCTTGCTTCCAGAGATAGACATTTTTGTTTTTTCAAATCATACCTGCATTTTAGGTCTTCTGTTAAGTGGACAGGAGAGGAATTTTATACATTCATTGTCCTATCAATATAATGAAAATACATTCTTTTGAATTTCAGAGAAATTACTCACTTTGTCACTGGAGCTGAGATGGCCTGGAGGAAAAGCCACTGGCCAAGGTAATGCAGGCAGAGCCTCAGGAAGCAGAGGGAAGCCAGCAGCAGGATGGCGTACCAGAAGCCCTGGCTTTGCCACTGAGCAAACTGCAGCTCTGAAAATACTGATACCTTCACAAAGTGGAGATGCTTGAAGAGGTCTCCAGATCCACTACCACCAGCAACTGAAGAGCTGCTACAAAGGAAGAAAAGAGATATGTTTTGCATGCTTTGGTTTCAAATACCCCTCAGGGGCTCATGTGTTGACAGCTTGGTCCCCAGATGATGGTGCTGTTGATAGGCGGACTCTGGGAGACAGGACTTAGTTGGAGGTTGCAGGTCACTGGGAAGTGCCCTTGAAGGAGGTATTGGGACACGAGACCCTAGTGCTCTCTCCTCATCTCCCTCTCTCTCTCTGCTTCCTGTCTTTCCTGAGGTGAGCTGAGCTGCTTTGTTCCACCATGTGCTCCCTACCATGAAGTTCTGCCTCACTACTAGCCCAAACAGCAGAGCCAGTGACCCTGTACAGAAACCTCTGGGACTGTCAGCAAGAACAAACCTTTCCTCCTTGAAGTTGCTTTTCCCAGGTATTTTGTCACAGCCATAGAAAGGTGGCTGACACATATTCTGAGCTTGTAGCACAACTCCAAAAGCAATATCCTGATAGTTAAAATATAGTGTGGAAATAAACTGAATGAAATTATTTTAAATATGTGATAACTGAAAATATTTATGTTTCTTTTTGTTACAATGGATGAATAGAAGGGAACATAAACATGGATTAGGGAAAAGCAAATCAAAACTACAATGAGATATGGCTACTTAAACAACAAAAAAAACACAGAAAGCAACAATTACTGGCAAAGATGTGGAGAAATCGAAAAACTTGTGCATTATTAACAGGACTACAAAATGATACAACCTCTATGACATGTACCCCTAAAATTAAATATGCAATTACTATATAATCAAGCAATGCCACAACTGGATATATATTGAAAGCAAGATATAGAGTTGAAAGTAGGTTATAGAAGTGGTATCTGTACATCCCAGTATTAGCCACAAGAGCCCTCATATGGAAACAACATAAATGTCCATTGATGAATTAATGAAAAAATAACATGTAGCATATGTACAGCAGAATATTATTCAGTTTTTAAAAGAAGGAAATTCTGATACATGCAATAAGATGAATAAATCTTGAGGATGTTATACTAAATAAAATAATCCAGTCACAAAAGGACAAATATGATTCTGCTTATATGAAATATCTATAGTAGTTAGAATCATAGCAACAGAAAGTTGAATGGTAGTTTCCCAGGGATGAAAAATGGGAATTGGTGGGAGTTGCTATTTAATGGGTACAGAATTTCAGTGTTGCAAGATGATAATACATTTCTGAGAGCGGCTGTATGGTAACGTGAATATACTTACCACTGACCTATACATTTAGGATGGTTAAGATGGTCAATTTTATGTTATGTGTATCTTATTATGATTTTTAAAGTTTAATAAAAAACACAGAAATAAATTTTAAACAACTTATTTTTAGAAAATTTTTGAAAACTAAAATATACTTCTGTTTATCTCACTTGCACAGATTATTCTCTCTTCATAAAGATTTGATTTATGTGTATATAGTTTGTTAAAGAACAACTATTTCATGTTTAAAATTGAAGAGTTATTAACATACCATTCAATACACAAAGAAGTATTTGAAACTTAAGTATTATTTCATTCCTTAACACAATATAAATAAAAACATGAAAGAATCCCATGTGAATTATTCTGATTTAACTCTGATTACCCCTCTATGGTTAGCTTTGGGAACAAGAGTTGGTTTCATAGTATCTTAAATAGTTTTTGGAAGAAAGAAGATGAAGAGGCAATCTGAAAATAAGTGCACAATCAAAAACAATTTATCCAAGAATATACAGAGGCTATGGAGTTACCATAGTATAAAGAATAAAAGTCTATGGCCTGATGCCCTGGGCATAATTCTCTACATCTATGTTTTCTCATAGGGAGAAAGAAGACAGTAGCACTTCCCACATCCCAGGGTCAGCATGATTCTAGGTCAACAGATGTAAAACACTTTGAACAGTCTGTCACAGAGGTGTACCCAAGATACAGTGAATCCTCACCATGCTACATCTCCTTTCTCTTTCAGTATTTAACAGACCTTTACTGAAAAAGGATAGCTTTTCATTAAGTCCCCAAATGTAGAAAATTTGCATAAATTATACAATTCTTTATTTTTTTTATTTTTTAAAGATCTATAAGCATGAGGATGCAAATATTTGTTATCTAATTAAAGCAGTTGAGATCATTAGCGTATATCATGTACCTAATTAAACTGGGACTTGAGCTTCATAGGAACTAGCCTCCAAATTCATGGGCTAGCTTGTCTAATTCTATTTTAGAGTGATTTTCTAGATTCATTAAGTTCTTCACCAAAAATAGTCCTAATGATAAACACACTTGCCAAAGGAGAAACTAGAACAAGAATAAGTAGTTCAGTCTACTTAGTGACTAACCTCTGGAAACAGAACACAGAAATAGAATTCATAGAACAGTTTTATATATGTGTATGTGTATGTGTGTAATTGTTTTGTTAGTACATGTTTGCAGTATATAATGTTTACATTCATTTTAGGGACTAGGTACAGGTACTTAAAGTATCTTGCTTCATTTTATACCCCTTCCCACTCACCTCCCTCCATCTCCAGATTCCCTTTCCCTATTTTCATTATGACTATTATTATTAATTTTAGTTGATGCTTGCATCATACAATGATTACATTCATTATGGATAGTTGGTGCATGTATGATGCATCTTAAATCTTTTTTTACATCCTTTCTGAAGACTATCAAATATAATGGCAATTTTGGCAAAAAGAGAAGATAAATAATGGAAGCAAGAGTCTGACAACAGTGACAGAGAAGTGGAAGAGAACCCACATCCTTAACTGTAGTGTTTTGGTCTGCACAGGACTAATGAGTCATCAAATGTGTCACTGAACTCCTTTGTGTTGCTCTTGTCTGTGTTTTGCCATGGAGATGAGGAGCCTCACCTAACTGAAAACCAGTTATTGAGCTTGCTTTCCAATTACACAAATGGAGGAACAGTGAAACAGGAAGCAGACCCCCCAGAGACTTTGGTTTATATACAGTGATGCAGTCCGAGAACTAAGTGTCCTATAGAAGAATCCCAGAACTCTTTACTATGTTTACCATCATGTGAAATGAAATCCAGAGCTGTCTACCCTGCTAAAGTAAAATACCCTGTACATGATCTCTTTTTCAGTTAATTATTCTGTCATTGTTTTGCCTCTTCAAAGGGAAGGAAAAATCAAATGCAGATTTGCCATTGTGTTGTTTGCAAAAAACTGGAAAATCTCAAATGATGCAAAACAGAAAAGACAGTAGCTTCTTTGACCTTTGGAAATTTCCACTGTTGTTTTCATATCCATTGACATAAATGACTAAGGGACTGTGCTTATGCACAGAAACCACTATAAAGCCATGCTTTTGCCATTAGTTTCAATAATAAAATCCTTCTAAGCCACACTCAGATACCCATGTTTGTTTATCAGACTTTTGATTTAGAGCAAACAGTACTAAAATTGCACTATGTACCATTTATGTTTAATTCAAAATATTCAATTATCTCATTCCTTATCAACACAATTCAAGATTTGCTTTTCTGTGTTTATCATTGATAACTATAGAAGGTGGATTTAAAGAATTAGGAAAGCATTTGAGTCAGTCCTTTGGAGTTCTAAATGTTACATGTTACCAAGTTACAAAGTAAGAGAGGAATTAGTCAACTATATACAGTGCCAAATAAAAGAAAGTGTCAAAAAGTTCATTAACTGAAGAAAGCTATATTAGCATTCTAAGCAATGCCAATATGACAACAAAATGTGGCAGTTCTTGTACTTTAATAATTTTGAATTGGTACCTGAAATTTCAAAGTGTTCTGATATGGACTTTTATCCAGGGCTTTCTCTCCATAAACCATTCTTGAAATGTATTTCACTCCAAACCAATTCTGCCCCACGTTTTAAAATTGTCTTTGAAGAGAGCGCCTTTGTTATTATTGGACACATGCAAGGCACATTATAAAATGCACTGGCACAACAGAATATCTTTAACCGCGTGTCTGTCAGCTGCTCTCTCCCCTGTAATCTTTCTGGGTTATGTACAAAGAGTATGACCATCAAAAGGATAATAAACGGCCTCTGCCACTGAGGTGTGTAATACGCATAGTGGGAATTGATTTGTTGGTTATGAGGGAAGCCATAGAGCACACAGATCACTGCAAAATCACATTGAGGCCAGCAGCTACTCCTTAGTTCATGCAGACAGCTCCTCTATCGCTCATGGGGAGAGCTGCCAGAGGGTGAGAAGAATGAGAAGGTCATCCAGCATTCAGCTATTAAATGAAACCTATTTCTCTGAACTTCAGCCACATTTCATATGACACACATAGAGCCCCCTTGTATCCCCCGTCCTTATAGTGACCTGAAATCAAACAAGATTTCTATGATCTATCAGTATAATAATAATAATAATAATAATATCTAAAAGACCAAAATTGCTTTGGAAAAAAAAACACAGAAGGCACTCTTTAAGCTCTTTTCTATAATGAACAGAAATCCTAAGACTTTGTAAATAATAAAGACTTGTTACCTATCAGTTGTGCACAATAACACTTCTTTAAAAATCACTACCAATAGATGGCACTAAAATTTCCATATTTTCTTCTTCTGGCATAACCAAATGCATTCCAGATGTATCATTTTTTAAAATATATATAACGACTAGTAAGTTTTTTATTTGGGTACTTTTCATTTTTCAGCATATTCCATTAAGCAGCAGGTTTTGAGCATAATGTCTTCAGTGACTCTGAGGCTTTCTAAGAATAAACTTTTCAGGAAGTGAGTAAAAAGAAAATACAAAGAAGCTTGCTTAAGTCAAGCCATGGTTTTGCTGGAAAGGATTTCATCACACTCTTTCAAATTTCTGCAAAAGATAACCTAAAGCTCAAATCAGTTAAGAGATTTTCTCAGGTTAACATAACAAAGAGTTTTCTAACTATATGTTTCTAAAGGGATTCTCTAGACAACAGATTCAATATATAATATATGTATAGTTTTACAAGGGATTTTTCAGATAGGCTTACAGGCCCAG